CTGAAAGACAGTTAGGCTGAATCAATCCCTGCAGTTTTGGAATCGTGAGGCCCGAGGGCCCAAATCCTCAAAGATAGTTCGGCTCCTAGCTTAACTGAGTTAGGCTTCTCACTTTGTAATCAGTTAAGTTAGGAGCCGAACTATCGTTGAGGAACTGGACCCTTGTGTCTCCAGATTCCAAAACTGCAGGGGTTGATTCAGTCCCCAGCACAAGCTGAGGCAGCCTACGGGGCTCCCTTAAGTTGTGCTCCTGGCTGCCATAGCTCCTGTTGGGCTAGCAGGGAATCACCGAGGGACAGGATCCATTCTCTCCTTTCTCTAGCCCACCTCCATGCTACCCCAGAATGCCACCCGTGCTGCAGGGATGTTTCAGAGGCCCCTTATGTCACTGCTGTTGGTGTAGGCTGTAGGGAAATTATGAATGTGGTCCCATAACTGTGGCAAGCCTTTTATCTCAGGAACTAGCACATGAGCTGCTAACTGGAGGTTATCATACCTCATAAGAGCATTTTTCTATCTGGAAATGTACAGTAAGTGTGCAGTTTTTTACTAATGCAAACCACATTTTAATAAATTGTACAAGAGACGGAGGATACAAAGACACCCTGTATGGAACTGTTGGCCTTCTTATGTAAAGTAATCTCATGTTGTCCTTCCTGCATATAGGGTGACCAGATGTCCCGATTTTATAGGGACAGTCCTGATATTTGGTGCTTTTTTTTAATATGGGCTCCTATTACCCCCCACCCCCACCCCGTCCCAATTTTTAACACTTGCTATCTGGTCACCCTACCTGCATATCGTCTCATTTTGCAATGCATCCAGTTCTCCTTTTTGTCTGACTTTTCTTCCTTTCCCACTTGAGTCTGTGTTGATGTAAAAGCAATTAAAGACACCTGGAATCGCCAGTCTACACACTTATCTCCCTTGAATGTGGGCTACTAACTTTATTCCTGTTCACCTCTTCAGTGCAACAGTGCTACCACCCTCCATGCAAACATGAAAGGCTTGAAAGTCATACTCACTTACTTCACCTTTGACCTGTTAATTTATTTATTGTATAATTTACTTACGAAATGGTGTGTGTATACACTATGGAACAAACATACACTGTAATATCTGTATATTTTAAAGTTAATTTTTTTTAAAAATGTAAATATATATATTGTGGTCAAGATTTTTCTAGATGAGTGCCTAAAGTTAGGCTCCTATATCCATATTTAGGCAATTGGCCTAGTTTCTTAGAATCCTCTATTGACTACAATAAAAGCTTGCTTAGATACTCAGCATTTCTGGCAATAAGACCACTTATTTAGTTGCCTAAATACGGATTTAATAAGGAACCTAACTTTAGGCACCCATTTAAAAGAAATCTTGGTCTGTTTGAGATGTTTTGAGCATTTAAAATGGGGCTCTACCTTGTATTTCACTGACTGAAAAGCTAAATCCAGTAGGGCCATATTTTCAAAAGGATTTGAATGCCTAATGATAGATACCTATCTTCTTAGGCACCTCGTGGGACATTCAAAGGCACCTATCTTAATCTTTAGGCACAATCTTTGAAAATCTGGCCCTTAGTTACTATGGACCTAATCCTGTATCTATTGAAGTTGGTGACAAAGCCCCAGTTGGCCACAATGGGTTCAGGATCGAGCACCTTGAGCCTAACCGTGCAGGGCTCAGAAGAAACTGTAAAACCCACTTACAATTGCATTTCTCTACCTTCTTAAAATGTCACAATTCTAAATTGTTATCTCTGGACATTCCAGTCTAGCAGTGTGCCAAGCCCCAATGAGAACCTTTCCCCAGGAATAATGCTCTAATTTCTAACCCTGCAAGATGCATGAGATAACATACCTTAGAACTATTAGTTTTTTATGATGTATGAAAAAGGGGGTTTTGAGGAAGGACAAATTGTGCACATCTTGTGTGGGGGTTTTTTTTGTTTTTGTTTTTGTTTTTGTGAGGAAACTTTTCAGGGGCTTGGAAATGGAATGTTACAATAAGCCCAATGGAGATCATTGAGTGGACAGAGGATCCTAGAATTGTAGGACTAGAAGGGACATTGAGAGGTCTTCTAGTCCAGTCTCCTGCACTCAAGGCAGGACTAAGTATTATCTAGACCATCCCTGACAGATCTTTATCTAACCTGTTCTGTGGAATCTCCATCATTGGAGATTTTTAAATCTCCCTAGGTAATTAATTCCAGTGCTTAACTATCCTGACAGTTAGGAAGCTTTTCCTAATGTCCAACCTAAATTGCCCTTGCTGCAATTTAAGCCCATTGCTGCTTGTTCTATCCTCAGGGGTTAAGGAGAACAATTTTTCTCCCTACTTCTTGTAACAACCTTTTATGTATTTGAAAACTTTTAACATGTCCCCTCTCAGTCTTCAAATTTTTCAATCTTTCCTCATGAGTCATGTTTTCTAGATCTTCAGTCATTTTTGTTGCTCTTCTCTGGATTTTCTCCAATTTGTCCACATCTTTTCTGAAATAGTGAAATGGTCACATACGCTTGATAAATTAATTTATCACATGGTCTTGCAACTGATCAGAAGTATATTTCCTCCATAGATGTGGTTTGTATGAGTGTGAGATACATATTAGTGTGCATATACATACATAGCATGCTGTATGCTGTAAATATCCCCTATTGACTTACAAGTCTGCAGACCAGTACCATATTTACCTTCTGAGTTGATGAAAGCTTTAATCTTGTCCACTCACTAATAATGAAATCCTACAAGCACCTCAATCATATTACAGCTTTGTGATTCACTTAGGCTAATGGATCATGTCATTTCTACTCCACAAGTCCTAGCCCACTGTGATAACTGAGCAAGAGAAAACTCTGTATTTAAAGGCATTCTAACTATATAATGGAGAAGTGTAAGGGAGTTTCATATAATCCTTTCTCAATTATATGCCTGCCTTCTGCACTCCTGCAATGCTAGTCTGGCTTTCATGGCTTCTTTTCCTTTCTAAAGTAACTAACAATTAGACTCACCTGCCATAGGCTTCAAATCATGTTTAAATTGCCTCCCTTGAAGATCAAATTTGACTTAGAAATGGAACAATTTCTCATAAACATTGTAACAGACTTCTCAAGTGGATGAATGATTTGGTCTAGATCTAAATTATAAAGGAATATTCTCTGAGAGAAATGTGAGTAGTACTAGAGTTCTGCATATGTAAAACAATACTCCTTGTAATTACTCACAGACTTTTGAATAGCTGCTTCAAGAATAGCTAAATCCAAGAATAGAATAAAAAAAGTCTCTGTAGAACAAAGGCCTCTAGAAAACTAGAGGTCCTCTTCCTCAGACCAACTCTGCAACAGGAAAACGTTCTTCACTGTGAAACCCGCTATGGCTTTTGTGGTAACTTAAATTTTATAATAAGATTATTTTGTTTTTATTGTGGTTTTCTAATACCATTACCGCTTTTCATCTGCTGTGCTCCATTACAAACCAGTGGGTGAGGAAAATCTGTTTTGTTTTCTAGTCTATTTTTAAAAGCTCTAATTTCTGCTCTCCTGTATACCAATACCTGCATGTTCATGGCTGTCTGCACTGCAATAATATATTTTATATAGCTCAGTAATTGCAGTCTATGGTTGTGTGGGTGGTTGCTAACATTTTGCAATCAAAGCAGGCAGACAAGTGTTAATTGTTCATAGTTCTAAACTGGGGCAAGTAGACAGAAGAACATGAGCATATACCATGCTGAAGATTCACGGGGCTTAATTCAATTCTGTTACACCTTTCGGAGGATCTATTAATGGAGATTCTCTATGTCCTAGTAAGGAGAAAAGGATGGAAGATGATAAAATATGGGTAGCATCTGATGAGAAACTGTCAAATGAAAGAGTCCCATTCAATTACATCATGTAATGGCAGACAGCTAAAAAGTAACAAGTTTTTAAAGTGCTTATATACAAATGCTAGAAGTCTAATTAATAAGATGGGCGAACTAGAGTGCCTCGTATTAAATGGGGGTATTGATATAATAGGCATCAAAGAAACTCAGTGGAATGAAGATAATCAATGGAACACAGTAATACCAGGGTGCAAAATATATCAGAAGGGCAGAACAGGTTGTGCTGGGAGGTGGGGAGTGGCACTATATGTGGTAGGAAAGCGTAGAATCAAATGAAGTAAAAATCTTAAATGAACCAAACTGTACCATAGAATCTCTATGGATAGTAATTCCATGCTCGAAAAATAAGAATATAGCAGTAGGGATCTATTACCAACCACCAAACCGGGATGGTGATAGTGACTCTGAAATGCTCAGGGAGATTAGAGAGGCTACAAAAATAAACTCAGTAATAATGGGGGATATCAACTATCCCCATATTGACTAGGTACATGTCACCTCAGGACGGGATGCAGAGAAAGTTTCTCGACTCCTTAAATGACTGCTTCTTGGATCAGCTAGTCCTGGAACCACAAGAGGAGAGGCAATTCTTGATTTTGTCCTAAATGGAGCACAGGATTTTGTCCAAGAGGTGAATATAGCTGGACCACTTGGCAATAGTGACAATAATATAATAAAATTTAACATCCCTGAGGCAGGAAAAATGCCAAAACAGCCCAACACTGTAGCATTTAATTTCAGAACAGGGGTCTACACAAAAATAAGGAAGTTAGTTAAACAGAAATTAAAAGGTACAGGGCCAAAAGTGAAATCCCTGAAAGTTTCATGGAAACTTTTTTAAGACCCCCATAATAGAGGCTCAACTTAAATGTATACCCCAAATTAAAAAACATAGTAAGAGAACAAAAAAAGTGCCACTGTGGCTAAATAACAAAGTAGAAGAAGCAGGGAGAGACAAAAAGGTATCCTTTAAAAAGTAGAAGTTAAATCCTAGTGAGGAAAATCAAAAGGAGCATAAACTCTGGAAATGAAGTTTAAAAATATAATTAGGAAGGCCAAAAAAGAATTTTGAAGAACAGCTAATCAAAAACTCAAAGTAATATCAAACATTTTTTTATAGGTACATCAGAAGCAGGAAGCCGGCTGAGCAACCAGTGGGGCCACTGGACGATCGAATGGTAAAGAAGCAATCAGGGATGATAAGGCCATTGTGGAGAAAGTACCTTGTTTTGCATTGGTCTTTACAGCTGAGGATGTAAGGGAGATTGTCAAACCTGAGCCATTCTTTTTAGGTGACAAATCTGAGGAACTGTCCCAGATTGCGGTGTCATTAGAGGAGGTTTTGAAACAAATCGATAAACTAAATAGTAATAAGTCCCCAGAACCAGATGGTATTCACCCAAGAGTTCTGAAGGAACTCACGTGAAATTGCAGAACTACTGTCGTCTGTAACCTATCATTTAAATCCGCTTCTGTGCCAGATGACTGGAGGATAGCTAATGTGACACCAATTTTTAAAAAGGGCTCCAGAGGTGATCCCAGCAATTACAGGCCGGTAAGCCTGACTTCAGTACTGGGTAAACTGGTTGAAACTGTAGAAAAGAACAAAATTGTCAGACACAGATGAACATAATTTGCTGGAAGTGTCAACATGGTTTTTGTAAAGGGAAATCATGACTCACCAATCTGCTGCCCAGCAGGGCTGGTACAACCACTAGGCAAACTAGGCGGCTGCCTAGGGCGCCAAGTAGTTGGGGGCAGCCAAAAGCACTCTCTGGCGGAGGCGGTGTAGCAGAGGTGAGCTGGGGCAGAGGGGCGCAGGGAGGGCCGCCTGCAGCAAGTAATGGGGGTGGCGCACAGGGGAACCGCTCCCCACCCCAGCTCACCTCTGCTCCGCCTCCTCCTCTGAGCGCACCGCCCCGCTCTGCTTCTCTCCCTCCCAGGCTTGCGTGCCAAACAACTGATTGGCGCCGCAAGCCTGGGAGGCGGGAGAAGCAACGGCGGCGGCATGCTCGGGGAGGAGGTGGAGCAGAGGTGAGCTGGGGAGGAGAGTTGCCGCATGGCTCCCTGGGCCGACGGGAGTTGCTGCACGGCTCCCTGAGGCGAGAGGGAGCGGCAGGGAGCTGCTGCAGGGGGGGCGCCTCAGGGCAGAGGGGAGCTGCCACGGGGGGGGCACCTCAGGGCGGCAGGGAGCTGTCGTGGGGGGGCGCCTCAGGGCGGAGGGGGGGCGACGGGGAGCTGCCGTGGGGGGGTGCCTCAGGGCGGAGAGGGGGAGGTGGGGAGCTGCCATGGGGGGGGGGCGCCTCAGGGCGGAGAGGGGGCGCTTCAGGGCGGAGGGGGGCGGCGGGGAGCTCACTGCAGGGGGGGTGCCTCAGGGCGGAGGGGGGGTGCAAGGTGGAAGTTTCGCCTAGGGCGCAAAACATCCTTGCACTGGCCCTGCTGCCCAGGGGTCAGGTAGGCAGGAAACCACCCTGCCCCATTAAAGCTCAGTGTGGCAAGCACACCTAGCAGCTTCCCATTATTGTGTTTAACTGCCCAGCTGACCATGCCGGCTACACGCTGCGGATGCGCTCCTGCCTGGAGCACACAGCAGGTGCTGAATCTTCTGGGCTTGTGGGGAGAAGAGGCTGTGCAGGCACAGGTCCGTTCCAGGCATGGAAATGACAACGCCTATGAGCAGATTGCTTGGGATGTAGGAGGAGGACGACTACAACAGGGACCAGCAGCAGTGCCATGTGAAAGCTAAGGAGATGCAGCAGGCATAACAGGCGGCCAGGGAGATTAACAATAGATCTGGTGCCAAGATTTAGACCTGCTGCTCTTACAAAAGGCTGCCATCTTAGGTGGAGATCCCACCACCACCACCCTCAATAGCACTGTGGATACTTCTGAGAAGCCAGAGTCATAGGCCCCGCTGTAAAAATGAGGAGTATGGGGGACAGGTGACCCAGGGATCCAGCTGTGCAGTGAGCCAGGACATGTTTATGATACTACTGCAATAATAAATAGTTCCAGAGGTGATCCTGGAAATTACAGGCCAGTGAGCCTGACCTCAGTACTGGGCAAACTGGTTGTAACTATAGTAAAGAACAAAATTGTCAGACACATACATAATTTGTTGGGGAAGAGTCAACATGGTTTTTGTAAGGGGAAATCATGCCTCACCATTCTACTAGAATTCTTTGAGGGGGTCAACAAGCATGTGAACAAGCCAGTGGATATAGCGTACTTAGATTTTCAGAAAGCCTTTGACAAGGTCCCTCACCAATGGCTCTTAAGTAAAGTAAGCTGTCATGGGATAAGAAGGAAGGTTCTCTCATGGATCGGTAACTGGTTAAAAGATAAGAAACAAAGGGTAGGGATAAATAGTCAGTTTTCAGAATGGAGAGAGGTAAATAGTGGTATCTCCCAGGGGTCTGTACTGGGACCAGTCCTATTCAACACATTCATAAATGATCTGGAAAAAGGGGTAAACAGTGAGGTGGCAAAGTTTGCAGATGATACAAAACTACTCAAGATAGTTAGCTCCCAGACAGACTGCAAAGAGCTACAAAATGATCTCTTAAAACTGGGTAACTGGGCACCAAAATGGCAGATGAAATTCAATGTTGATAAATGCAAATGATGGGGGTCTAAATTAGTTGTTCCCACTCAAGAAAGAGATCTTGGAGTCATTGTGGATAGTTCTCTGAAAACATCCACTCAATGTGCAGCGGCAATCAAAAAAGCTAACAGAATGTTGAGAATCATTAAGAAAGGGATAGATAAAACACAAAACATCATAATTCCTCTATATAAATCCATGGTACACCCACATCTTGAATACTGTGTGCAGATGTGGTCACCCCATCTCAAAAAAAGATATATTGAAATTAGAATGTCCAGAAAAGGGCAACAAAAATTATTAGGGGTATGGAACAGATTCCATATGAGGAGAGATTAATAAGACTGGGACTTTTTAGCTTAGAAAAGAGACAACTAAGGGAGGATATGAAATCATAACTGGTGTGGAGAAAGTAAATAAGGAAGTGTTATTTACTCCTCATAACACAAGAACTAGGGGCCACCAAATGAAATTAATAAGCAGGAGGTTTAAAACAACCAAAAGGAAGGGTTTTTTCACACAACGCACAGTCAATCTGTGGAACTCCTTGCCAGAGGATGTTGTGAAGGCCAAGATTATAACAGGGTTCAAAAAAGAACTGGATAAATTCATGGAGGATAGGTCCATCAATGGCTATTAGCCAGGATGGGCAGGGATCGTGTCCCTAGTCTCTGTTTGCCAGAAGCTGGAAATTGGCGACAGGGGATGGATCACTTGATGATTACCTGATCTGTTCATTCCCTCTGGGGCACCTGGCATTGGCCACTGTCAGAAGACAGGATACTGGGCTAGATGGACCTCTGGTCTGATCCACTATGGCCGTTATGTTCTTGTGGCATCAGGGGTTGGCCACCACTCCTACCACTCCACCCAGGGGTATATTAAAGAAAATGACAGCTTCATACAGTGAGCTGTGAAAGTCACTGTGTATGTGTACCTGAAATGGAAATGACTGTTCTTTCTCCTTAAGATCTGGTCCCTTAATTTAAGTTTTTAACTGGCTGATTCATGTTACTGAATAAAATTCTGTTTCACAACATACGCTGGCTGGTACTGAGCAGGTCTGACCACACCCTATTTCCTGTTACTGCATTGTCTGGGAACCGATAACATTCACAAACAATATTAACAGGTGCATTGACAAACACAACAATCCCTAAAAGACTAATTCCAGGCCAAACAAGTGAGGCCAGGCAGAGCACACCTACAGCAACGTGCACCACTCTACTTCACTATTAAAATGATTGTTCAAAGCCTCCCTGAGCCGCATAGCTCTGCACTGAGCTCTTCTTATAGTCCTTGTAGCTGGCTGTTCAAATTCACCAGACAGCCACTCCATCTCCACCCCAGGAGAAACTTCTTCCCCTTTGCTTCACAGATATTAGGTGGGAAACAGCAGGCAGATAGAAAAATATCCCAGTAGTTCTAAGTGAGGTCCAATATTATAAGCAAACAGTGCCAGTGACACTTCAAACAACCAAAGGCACATTCATCTGTCATTCTCCACTTGGTGAGTCTGTAGTTCACATGCTCCTTGGTGCTGTCAAGGTGGCTGGTGTACGGCTTCATGAGTCATGGGAGCAAGAGGTAGGCTGGGTCCTCCAGGATCACTACTGGCATTTCAATATTGCTGGTAGTAGTTTGCCAGTCAGTAAAAAGTATCTGTGTTTTTGGCTTTCTGAATAGCCCTGTGTTCTTAAAGATACACGTGTCATGCACCTCCCCTGATCAGCCCACATTGAGGCCAGTAAAGCATATGCAGTGATCCACCAACACTTGCATTAGCAGAGAAAGGGAAACCTTTCTGTTGACATACTCTGTGACAAGGTGGTCTAGGGCTAAACTAGGGATTTGTGCCATCTGTCACCCCACTGCAGGAGTGGGGTTCCCAAACTGCAAAACCATCCACTATGCCCTGCACGTTCCCCACAGTCACTGTCCTGCAGAGCAGGAGGCGATTAATGGCTCTGCACACTTGGATACAACGGCCCCTGTGATGGATTTTCCAACTCCAAAATGATTCCCAACTGATCGGTAGCAATCTGGTGCCACAAGTTTCCACAGTGCAATCGCCACTTGCCTCATCTCTCAGTGCAGCTTTCATTTTGGTGTCCTGCACTGGAGGGCTGGGGTGAGTTCAGCACACAGGTCCCACAATGTGGCCTTGTGCATTAAAAACTTCTGCAGCCACCGTTCATCATCCCAAACCTGTGTGATAATGCGATCCCATCAGTTAGTGCTTGTTTTTGGGGCTCAGAACCAGTAGTCCACCAGCTCCAGCTGCTCCATGAACACCAGCAACAACATTGAATTGTTCTGGGTTTTTTTTTATGTCCCACAGTAATCTGTGCTCCAAGGAATAGTCACGTTCCCCATAGCATCTCTTGCAGCTCTGCATATATGCCAGGATCGTGTGCCCTGTGCTCGCAATGCTCATGACAATAATGCTGAGCTGTGCAAGCTCCGTGCTTCTGTACGAGATCGCAGACAGCAAGGAGGGATGCGTGCAGTTTCGTATTTTGAAAAGAAGGTACAAAATATTATGGGCTGCAGATAAACTTTATGGAGAACACT